TGAAAAAACAATTTCACAGCTTTAGACAACAAAAACAGTTACATAACTCTAATCATTTTTCTTAGATTGTTCCCCCCACCCACAAAATATTCTACTTAAAGGAGCAAAATAGCTTAATCCATCCTATAAATAACAGAAAATTTATTGCCTTGCTATTAAAGCACAAGAGTATTTGCTATGGAATAGCCAGAGGACGGAAATGCAACGTTTTAACAGTCTTCTTTAAAGTCATAAACCAGAAATGGAGGAGAGAGGAGGCCTCTAAAGTATGGTTACCAGATGTCCCTGTTTCCCGGGGACAGTCCCCAGATTTACAAATCTGTCCCCGGACAAAATCCGTCCCCAGATTTCATTTAATGTACCCGGATTTATATTTTAAGTGTTGTAGATTTATTAGTAGGGAATGAATGTTGTGATTGGTTCAACAGCACAAGACACATCATATGGAGACTTCCGGCGAGGCAAAATGGCGGGCGCCACGGCAGTGAGCAGCCCCTGAAGCCAGCCAGAGCCAACTGCACTACCAGGCTGGCTCTGGGCTGCTGAGACTGCCGCTGCTGCCACCACTGCCGAGGGCAAACTGGGGATGCCTGGGGTGTCAACTAGGGGAACCGCTGACCCCCCGACCCAAATCAAGCCGGGAGTGACAGCACCCGACCGACTGCCAAGCGGTGCTCCGGGGTCAGGAAAACCCCAGAGCTGATGCAGGGAGAAGGAGGAGAGGAGAAGGAGAAGGAAGAGAGAGAAAGAGGAAGGAGAAAAAAGAGGAGAGCCCAGACCTCGCCGCACCACTTCCGCCGCTGAGGAGGAGAGATAGGAGAGCACCGGGAGGGCAAGGACATGTGGCTGAGCCCAAGCCCGACCCAAGCCTACTCCACGGTGGCTAGTACTCCAAGAGAGCAGGCCGGGGCCCAGAGGAAGGCCACGCGACAGAGGAGACCACAGAAGATAAGATATTACTTCTTTTTTAAAAAAATTTAATTTAAAATAACTTTTTTTCTCTCTTTTTTTTAAAAAAAAAAAGTGTCCCCGGATTCTTTGAAAAAAAAATCTGGTAATCTTACTCTAAAGGTGTACAATGGACAATTTATTACGGCCCAATGCATTTCATAAGATGGCATGGGTGTAGCCAGTGGGCGGGGGGCAACTAAATCAAGTAAATACATAAAAATACTTAACTAACTGACCAGTTGCATTGCAGGTAATATCTCAACCCTGCAATGAAGGGCTTCAATTTTGCCCATTGACTTTGTGTGGCCCCAGTCCCACAAATGTATTATTGTGGATGCCAAAGCACCCGCGGCCCCCTGGAATTGGTTCCAGTGTTTGCCAGTGAACCTGCTACTACATAAGACCTTATCAGTCACTGAGATCTGGATTATACAAATGAAAAGACTTACCACATCCATGATTTGCCTGAGGCTGAGGCTGAAGGAGACAGTGAGCGGCTGGGAGTCATTGGCCACAGGCCTTTCCAAAGGGTTGTAATTCTTCAGGAGTTCCTTGTAGAGTTTCCTCTGGTACTCTCCCTGCAGGGACACTGGAGAAACAGAGGCAAATAGAGAGGAGTTTACAAAAATCTCACTGTCAACTCAATGTCATTGACAGGTTCAAAACTCTGCTCAAATCAGCAGTGGGTAGAGCCAAACAGCTAAACTGTCATGCTACTGAAAAATCTTACTGAGATCTGGTGACAGGCAAGAGCTCAGAGTGCAACCCTTGAGCCAGAAAGGCTCCATTTAAATCTCAACTCCACAAAGCACTCTGTAGGTAATGTCAGGTGCGCTTCCACCATGGTGTTTTGAACCACAATTCCCATCAGCCCCAGTGCAGGCAAAACAAATGGAGGCTGCCAGGGTTGGCAAAGACTGCCTTAGGCAATCCACTGCTTCTCAGTCTAGCCTGGCATCTGCCCTGTGAGAGTAATAAGACACAGTGTGGTATAGTGATTAAAATGAATAGGGAGACTTGAATTCAAATCCCTGCTCAGTTCCCAAGCTCACTAGTCATCTTTGGAGCAGTGCCCCGTCTCTGTCTCTTCGCCTGATCTTGGCAGTTTTCCCAAAGTAGTAAAAAATCTGATTATCAAAAAAATGAAAGAAATATGCAACTTTGCTCAGTTTTAATCATTCATCTTGATTGCAGAATTCTTCTTTTCTTGGTGCAGAATCTGGATGTGGACTTTTAATTTTGCTTTAGTTCAAAGCAGAGCGAGAGCGAGAGCGAGAGCGAGAGCGAGAGAGAGAGAGCGAGAGAGAGAGAGAGAGAGAGAGATTCGCCTAGGACCAGATCACTTCCTTGGCCCTTCTAAATCAGGCATCTTTGGAAAGGCGCAAAGCTTCATTTAATTGAGAGTTGTATCAAGGATGAGGGTTGGATGAGATGCCGTGGCTTTAAAAAGATGAAGAAGACTCCAACCATAGATGTAGACACACACACAGAGAGAGAGAGAGAGAGAGAGAGAGAGAGAGAGAGATTTCTTATTCCTGCAGCCAAGAATATATTACAAGCTCAACTACACCACTGAGGTCCAGTGGGGATGACCAGGGAACACAAAGTATGCCTTCAGCCAGAGATAATTTGGGAATTACCAGCAAAAAGAGCACTTCTGCCAAGAGGTCCCTCTGATGATCTCCGCACCCAAGAAGCCCTCTAGGGAAGGAGGCAACCTTTCAGGTATTTGGGGCCCAGGTGACTTTGGGCTGTAAGCACTAGCATGAGCACCTTAAATTGGGCCTGGAAACCAACTGGCAGCCAATGCAGCAGTTTTTAAATGGGGGTTATAAGAGTTCTGAATGCAACCGCTGCCAGTAACCTGGACACTGCATTTTGGACCAAGTGAAGGTTATTAGCATGCATTGTGTCTGTACAGGATTACAGTTGTGAGAAGAAGTTTCAGTGTCCAAACAACATAGCCATCTCTTCTCAAGTGCTTTCTCCATGTACATCCTCTGAACAGTGGGAGACACTCCTCCTGATTACTTCCCTTGCAGAAGAAGTGGGGAACATCCACCCCACAGGCTAAATTGGGCGTGGTGGGGCTCCAAATTTGGCCAATAAGTCAATTTCCCCCAAAAGCACACCTACTTGCCCCTCACACCTGACTTCATATGTGTCATCAAGTGTGCATCAGGTGGTGATGTGGCTTCTGAGGAAGAATGTTCAGGACAAATAAAAGCAAGTACTTATTCACACAGTACATAGTTAAACTATGGAACTCTCTCCCACAGGAGGCAGTGATGGCCACCAACTTGGATGGCTTTAGAGGAGAATTGGATACTCACCATGATGGCCCTGCTCTACCCCCACAGCTGGAGGCAGCAAGGCTTCTGAATAGCTGTTGCTGGCAACCACAGGAGAGGAGAGCTGCTCTTGTGCTCAGGTTCTGCTTGTGGGTTTCCCACTGGGGCATCTGGTTGGCCACTGTGAGAAGAGGATGCTGGACTCGATGGGACATTGGCCTGATCTAGCAGGCCCTTTCTATTTTCTTATAATGTTCCCAACTGTTCCTTGGCAAGGAATGCTTGCAGTCAGTGCCAGTCAGCTGGCTGGAGACAACTGCAAACAGGCTGGAACTGGGAACTTCATAGCACAGCTGATGCCTGCCCAAAGCAGCCTTGCTAGAAGAGCCAAAAACTTGATCTGCTGTGCTATAGAGTTCCCAATGAAAACTTTGTAGCTCAGCTAATGCTTGCCCAAAGCAGGCTTGCTGGAAGTGCCAATCAGCTGATCAACTATGATAACAAGCCCGCTGGGATTGCTATTGAGTTTCTCACTGGGACCTCCATAGCATGACCAATATCTGCTCAAAGCTGATTGGTTAGAAAAAATTGCGCTTAGAGCAAGCCCACTGGGGCGATTGGCATTTATAAGAAGCCCTAAAGCACAGCTTGCTGTAAGTACAAACATTCCTTGTCATTGGTAGCTTAAATGAAGGCCAATGATGCAACGGATCTCTCTCTGCTCAGGGTTTTTGGCTACCATTGGATACTAGCCTTTTCACCAGTTTGACATTTCTCTACTTAAGAAGATAGCTTTGGCAAACTGGTGTCATTCCTCACATTGTGTTCCTGTATATGCATTGACTTATGCATTTTGTAATGTTTGCTTATTTATTTAGAGCCTTGTACTCCTCTGCTGAAAAACCTCTCAGAGCAGATTAGATATGATCAATTAAAGTAAGACTGTTCTTGCCCACAAGCTTACACTCTAAGGGCATGACACAAAAGGAAAAAGGGATGGGGAGGGAAAATATGAGGGACCACACATTTTATTTGTCATCCCAATGCATACGTTAGAAAGTGCTGCTGGTCTTGTATCTCCATCTCCTTCTCTTCCCCATCCTTCCTCCTTCCCTTAATTATTTCCCTCTGCTTCTGAAATTCAGATTGTATTTGATTTTATGACTTCTACCAAATGTCATATTCATTGATGGGGCTATTATAGAAAATAACAACATCAATCCCACATCAACTCACCTGCACATGTCACAAATGCACACTAGCATAACCATGTACACACAAATGCATGCATTTTGATAAGGATCTGCATATGTGGAAATATCATGTCAGAATTAGACCCTCATTCAAGGGCTTTGAGTCAAAATTGAAACATTTCAATGAGGAAGGTTGATTTGGTCCCAAATGAGTATATGAATAATTTAGACAGGGAGAGTGAGGATTCCCCACAACCGTCCTGCAGTTATTTAGGGGGTTGGGTGCGCTGCTTGGTCACTGGTTATCTGACGGGAGAATCTTTTCCCAGAACACTTCATGTGCTCACCTTTTTAAAAAATTGTACACTTAAGCAGGAGCATCAAAAGCTGCTGTGAGGATAGGAACTGAAATGAAGATTCACACAAATTTGAAAACTGGCAAACTTTTCAGCATTCTTTTTTCTTTTTTCTTTTTAATGTCCACATTTTCAAAGTTTCCTCTTGAAGTATTGGTGTCTTTATATAGTTTCACCAAACACACACACATACACACAACCATATAAATGAACATAGCTCAGTTGATAGAGCATGAGACTCCTAATCTCAGGGTTCTGGGTTCAAGCCCCACATTGGACAAAAAGATTCCTGCATTGCAGGGGGCTGGACTAGATGACCTCATGGTTCCTTTCAGCTCTATAATTCTATGAATCTATTATTCTAATAATACATATCATTTATGTTAAACTTCACAGAAATGCTAAGAATGGACCAACTGTATCTTTGTGGAAATTCAACTTTTGAAGGATACTTTTTAAAAAGGGAATTAGTCTTCCTAATTCATTTTCACACAGTTGCACTAACAGTGCAATCTTTTGTATGTCTACTCAGAAGTAACGCCTATCAAGTTCAATCAGGCTTCCTCTTAAGTTAGTTTTTCAGCTTCACAGTACAACTATAACCTGTGTGGAAATAACTAAGTCCCGCTGAATTCAGCAGAACTTTACTCTCAAGTACTGGAATTCAGGCCTTGTATCTATTTGATGAAGCCAAGATTTGTACACCTTGGGCTTGTGTACACTTATATACACTTAATGCCATGTGTGGTGAAGCAGTTAAAGTATTGGCCTAAGACCTGGGAGACCAGGGTTCCAACCATTCAGTCAAAAGTTCATTGAGGGGCCTTGGTCAGTCATTGCTCCTCTCAGCCTAACCTACCTTGCAGGGTTGATGTGGGGATTCAGCAAGGAGGAGGAAGAACCATGTACACCATATTGAGCTCCTTGGAGGAAAGGCTGGGATATAAATGCTATAATTGCAATAAAGATAGCCTGACAAGGTGGACTCGTCCATGGAAGTTTATGGCATCATAAATGTGTTGTTCTTTAAAGTGCCAAAAGACTCTTGTCCTTTTAAGCTCTCATGTTCTCAAGCTCCTAATGATCTTCAAGCTGAATTAGGAGTTGATAATACAAATCTTTCACCTTACCTGCTGGTGCCCATTATCTTGAGCACCTTCCTGATACCCTGCAATGATCAGGTGAGCCAATTCCAGGCTTTATCCAGAGAGACATGCAGAGCAGGTCCAAAATCATGCATACTGAAAGCAATCCATACTTTGTCCTTGTTTGGCTAGTATATTCTTTTTGTGATTCTTTCTTTACTTTAGCATATTACTTACATCATTACTATGGAGGTTTTTCAGGGAGGGAGGGGTTCTCCACACCAAAACCCTATTAAAAGGCAGGCTCTAAGGGTCTTAAAATACACACCATACATAAATAACATAAATATCATCAAAGTACGCCCTCTTCTCTGGAAGCCACACAAATACCAATATGCAGGGGAAATATCAGGAGGTGGAAATGCTCCCACAAGCTCAGAGGAAACTTCCTCTCTATCCAGACTAGATCATCCAAACTAAGACAGAATGCATGTGTTTGGCGATGTGGGGGGGGGGGGCGGAGGCGAGCAATGCCTGTGAGACGTGTGCGGTCCAGACCAAAAGTCCTGGTCGGACACTCCTAAGCCACCCCAGCAAACTCTCCTTCAGCACCAAGGACGGCTCCTCGCTCGGAGGCAGCGGCTCACCGTGCACGAGTCCCCCGGCGAGGATCAGTACCACGGACAGCTCCCGGGTCCCCATCCCGGGATCCGGGCGGCGGCGGCGGCGGCGGCGGCGGCGGCGGCGGCGGGTCTCGTCTGTCGTCTCTCGCAGCCCCGGCAGCCCAAGCTGGGTCTCCCGCGGTCTGGAAGCGGCGGCGCTTCCGCGCGAGGAAGGGCAGGCGGCCGGCGGGAAGCTCGGGGATGCCTGGCAGGCGGCGGGCCGTGGAGCCCCGCGCTGGCGGCGCCGGGCTAGATGGAGGCTCCTCCTCTCGGGGCTGATCTCCGCTTCTCTCCTCCGCCAGCTGCCGGCTCAGCCGCGGCGCCGGAATGCCAATCGCCTGGCGCTGCTTTCTTTCCTCCGCGACCACCCCCTCCTCTCCCCACGTGACGGGTATCCCTCCTTGCGAGTAGATCCACGGCGAGGACCATCCGTTGACAGAAGGAGGCTGATCCTGCAGCAGCGACAGGCAAGAATGCAGCACCCCAGCCCGGGCAGAGCCGCCTTTATAGGGGGAGCGCCCAGGCTGGCCCCCGCCTCCTCCTCTCTCGTCCCTCCCTCCTTCTCAGCCATCAACCCACCTCTGGTCCCTTCTGGCTTGGCTCCGGCTCAGTCCCTTCCCGCTCCAGAGTCTGCCTGGGAGAGTTGGCGGCGCTTCCGCAGCGGCGTTTGCCTGCCTGCCTGCCTGCCCACCTCGGTCGGTCCCAACCTAGAGCGGAGCCAGGCACACATGGCAGGCGCACGCTTCCCGGGCGGGGGGCTGCGGGGAGGAAGCCGTTGGATGTGTTTAGGGCTTCCTCCCGAGCCGGCGTGCAAGGGAGACTGGCAGGACTTCGGCGCATTCCTTTTCAGCCTGAGATCCGATCGCACGCCCATCTGGAGTCCCGATAATGTGACAGTGGCTTCCGAGTAAACGTAAATGGCCATCGAGGATCCGGTTGTCAGAGCTGCGCGGAGGCAGCTTCGTAGCCATGGAGAGGAGCTTCTCACAGCCTCGGAGGCGCTCTCGGTGCGGTGTGCTGCACGATGTAAAGATCTGCTATAAAATAAATTCAAAATTAAATTGTCACTCACACGGACACTTTAAGGCTGCAATCCTGAACGTACGTATCTGGCACTCAACACCCGCTGGCTACTTCATTATAACCATGTTGACAATATAAATCTGCAACTTTTCTTTTCTTCAAAGGAAAGAGTTTATTGTGCCCTTTGACATGCAGGCTCCACAAATAGACAGGTGAAGTTTTTGTTAGAGTAGCTACTCAAGATGCTCACTTACTTGGTGGTAAGGTTATAATTATTTATTTATTTATGCCCAACCTTTTCCTCTGATGGGACTCAAGGTGGCTTACTGATTAAAAACAAGACTCGCTAAAAACTTGGGGGGGGGGAATAAAACTATATGCATGTATAACATCTGTTTGAAACATACAAATAATAAGATCCATTCACCTCATTAAAATCTGCTTCTGGGCATTCAGTCTGTAGGCTACTTGAGTTCTTCAGGAAAAAAATGTCTCTAAAGACTACTCACATATGTTCTAAAACATCCCACCATCCCTGTCTCTTAACACCAGACAGGCATCTTCACTCTACCCTTTGCAGTGCCTGCTAAAAAAAAACCTGATGTATGTTCTAATTTGTTTTAAGTTTATTGCTGATTTTCTCTTTTGAGTGTTTTAAAGAGTTGTTTTAACTGATAATTTTATTGTTTTGTGTTTTTGTAAACTGCTTTTTTACAATCAAGCAGTGTATAAATTTCATTAATAAAATTCATCAGAATGTGATATACACCTGGATTTTCCTATGGGTCGTGGCAGGTATTGCACAGACATTAAGCATTATTCAAATTACTTTGAAAGGTATTAAGAAAAATATTGCTTGCTTAGAAATATCAAACAATATTTACAAGGTAACATGGTATAGCATGCAAGCATGCAAGCATGCAAGGTTTTAAAAAACAATAGTGGTAACTGTTGGAAGCAAAAAAAAAAAAGTCAAAAGTTTTCTATGAATTATTAAGGAGCTTTCTGACAAAAAAACCCAAAGATCTTCCCCAATTGATTATCTTTCTAAACATTTCCCACAGGAGACTGGAAGAAGTCAAGAAGATGTGGATTGGCTAAGAGGCCTCCTGATGACTACATTTAACAAACTCTAAGGTCATAAGAAGGGACGCGGGTGGCGCTGTGGGTAAAACCTCAGTGCCTAGGACTTGCTGATCGTATGGTCGGCGGTTCGAATCCCCGCGGCGGGGTGAGCTCCCATCGTTCGGTCCCAGCTCCTGCCCACCTAGCAGTTCGAAAGCACCCTTAAGATAAATAGGTACCGCTTTATAGCGGGAAGGTAAACGTGTGCTGTGCTGGTGCTGGCTTGCCAGAGCAGCTTCGTCACGCTGGCCATGTGACCCGGAAGTGTCTGCGGACAGCGCTGGCTCCTGGCCTCTTAAGTGAGATGAGTGCACAACCCTAGAGTCGGACACGACTGGCCCGTACAGGCAGGGGTACCTTTACCTTTACCTTTAAGGTCATAAGAACATCCAAAGAGGCTACTGGATGAGGCCAATGGCATCCTGTTCTCACAGGGGCCAACCAGATGCCACAATGGCAAAATCCCAAGGAGGACCAGAGTGAAACAACCATCTCTTCTCCCTGCTATATCCACCAATTGGCCTGCAGAAGCATCCTGCCTCCAGCAGTACGGTTCAAACTTAGCCATCAGAGTTAGCAGGTCACTGCTAGCCTTTTCCTCCATGAATCTGTCTAATCCTCTTTCAAAACCACCCAGGTTTGTGGCCCTCACTGTCTCTTGTGGGAGTGAATTCCATAGTGGAACCATGTGCTGTGTGAAGGACTTTCTTTACTGTGCCATAAATCTTTCAACATCCAGCATCATGGGATGTCCATGAGTCCTAGTGCTACCTCTATATTCTCTAATATGTGAGCTTTGCTAGTAATGTCTCACTTAAGAAAGGTCACTTTAACAATGCATTATTTGAGTTGTGGGCTATGACAATACGAATATTGGCTTCATTTCCATGCTGCTTCCCCAGTTGTAATACTAACTTTTTGAACTCCACAAACATTTCTTTCTCGGTTCATTTAATTACTCTTAAATAATGAACCATATGAAGCCCAGTTTATTTTGTTAGCATTTCTTCAGTTATGAGTTTCTTAAAAGCAAGATATTTAAACAAGTTATGTGAACCACCCCACTCATGCACTGAGATCATCTTTAGAGGCTCTCCCCCAAGGTGGAGCAAGCAGGTAATGATCAGGTAACCTTCTTGCTGTGGTATGGTGTCCCATTTGTGGAATTAGTTTCTCAGAGAACCCTACATGGTGTCAACCTTGCTATCCTTTCAGCACCAGAGACTTCTTTTAAAAATCTCCTAGGAGAGAGAGAGAGAGAGAGAGAGAGAGAGAGAGAGAGAGAGAGACTGTGTGGTATAGCGGTTTAAGTGTTTTACTAGGACCTGGTTCTAGTAAATCATCAGTCCACCATGAAGCTCACTGGGTAATATTTGGACAGTATC